ATGATTGTATAAGTGTGATATGTATAGATGCCAAGACATTTCTGTGTCCCATGTTTAAAATGGCCTCCACCCGGAATGTAAATCAAGTGAGTTTATAGATAGTGGGGGAAACGCGTGTTTAAATAATGTGTCATACAAACTAGAAAGCAATACATTTTGCTTCCCATGTTTTGCCCACTTTAAAACTGTATTCTGGACAAATGTGGGCAAAATAGTTTTGATTTATTTTAAAAAAATACTTCCCTTGATCTGAGCGGTACAAGACTTGGCTACTTTTCCTAAGTTTGCCTCCTGAACACACACAATTTTTTTGACTCAATTTTACAATGTTAAGTGGATGAAAAAAAACTCCTTAATCTTGTATTTGGGTCAAAAATGGGCACCCATAGAAATGAATGGGGAAAACGGTCATTTAAAAGCATTCTAAAATAAGCCAAAATAAGACACCAGGTGACAGCAAAGTCACTTCATCTTTAGGTTTTAGCTCTAAGAACTTATTGGAATGATATTTTAATGTAGTTAAAAGAATTAAAAAAATAAAACATAAAAATAAGCATAATTTACATAGAAAATATGGTACTTTTTGAAGTAAATAAATTAAAAAATACCCCCAAAATAAAAAAATAACACCATAAATGGATAGACAAAACTTTATAGAATACAGTGATATAACATTTATAATAAATAAAAATTAGGATCACACCTGAGTCCTCTGTGCCCACATTTGTCCACAATTACAGGATTAAGGGCTATAAAGTGAATACGGTTTTAGGGCTACACTGAAAGTGAAACCCAGATAACCATTTTTGTAATATTTAGATTTAGACATCAGTACCAGGGATCTATTTCTATATATATATATATATATATATATATGAAGAGTTCAGATGCAAAAGCCTCTAAGTGCCATTTGAAATTTTCTTCTAGAATGATCATTTTTATCAAGCCTGTATATTTAAGTTCAGTAATTTCACTTAAATTGCAATGAAGATTACCTATTAATTGTCATTTAAGTGAAATTACTGAACTTGAATATATAAGCTTGATAAAAATGATCATTCTAGAAGAAAATTTCAAATGGCACTTAGAGGCTTTTGCATCTGAACTCTTCATATATATATACATACAACCGCGTAAGGCACACACTACTAACAAAAAGGATTTTTTTTTAATATTTATGATTATTTTTTTATGATTATGATTATGATTATTTTTTTATTTTACAGGACATCACTAATATAGTAAATATTTTGACACAGAAGAGCAGTTTCTACTTCATTTTTTTCTACTTGGAATTTGAATTTAAAATTTTGAAGAAATTAAGTTTTGGAAGGTTTACATTTCTTCCACTTGTGAATACTTCAGAAAACTGTAAAAACTGAAACAAAGGGCAAAATGACCGATTTCTTAATGAGTGTTGTAACGTTCTCGGCAGTTGTTGTGCCAACAGGAGCGTTAGCCAACAATTCTGGTCTGAATGCAGACGGGCTTCCTCTTCAGAAACATGAAGTCGAACCGTACAGGTGCAAAGCCTGGGATTGCGCTGTATTTTTGTAAATCATTGAAGCTATGCTACATTTGTTGTATCTCAGCGATTAGACAAACTGCCATGTGTAAGCTGTGTAAATTGGCTTTGTGGGCTGATGTCTTTGCCAGGTTTTTGTTTGGACTGGTTGGTTCTCTGGCTGGTTGTGATTACGTACAGTGTGTTTCCAGTGTACAGAAGGATTATTATGCTTGTCTCTCTCAGGCCATGTACGTGTACATGAAGGCGGCTTATCTCAGCATGCTCCCAGATTCCGAATCCCGGCCGTTCGGGGATAATGAGGTGGATCTCTTTAGGTAAACACACATGCAATTGCATCGCCAAGACTGGTGACAGATGAGGCTTTCATGAAAAAATAAAAGTCTTTCTGTATATGGGTTAATTTGGTACAGTATGATATGCATCAAAACAGACTTTAACTTCCGGTTTACTTCCAATCTTTCTCAGACAGGTACCAACATACAAACAGAAGATAGCCGGTAAATCTCCGCCCACTGAGAAGTTTGCCATTCGGAAAGCAAGACGGTACAAAGGCAGCAATCCTATCAGACTTCCTGTTCCTGTGCTTGTAAGAATAACATTCAGTACACTTTCGTTTTTCCCTTTATTTTCTAAGACAATATTTATACTTGACTAATGTGCTTCATATTTCAGGAGATGATGTACATGTGGAATGGGTTTTCCATGATCAGCAAACAGCCTGAGCTCACCGAGGGCATGATGGAGACGCTGTTGGAGGCGGAGCGCACCCTACAGGCGGCTCCGGGTAATGACACACACATTCCTCTATAGAAAATACGTCTAGGTATAAAAGAAACCTTCCGAATAGGTTTTAAATTAAGTAATTGCAGTCTGTGGATAAATAAGCAATGGATGATAGAAAAAAAAAAATATGCACCCTCATTTCTATATAATCAATTGCTAAATATTCCATGGTCAATTACTTTGTTTTTAAAATTAAATTATTGATTTTATTACACATTATCCTCATGACTTTGACTTTTATGTTGTTTTATATATATATATATATATATGTATGTATGTGTGTGTATATATATATATATATATATATATATATATATATATATGTGTGTGTGTGTGTGTGTGTGTGTGTGTGTGTGTATATATATATATATATATATATATATATACACATATATACTGTATACATACAGGTCAGGTGAAACCTGAAAATTTTGAATGTTCAAAAGTTCATTTATTTCAGTAATTCAACTTAAAAGGTAAAACTAATATCATTATGGCTTAAAACTATGAAAACCTTTTCACAATATTCTTTTTTTTTTTTTTACTTTATTTTAAAGGATTTTTCACGTTAAAACAAAATACAAACAATGGCTCGGACTACACACACTCACAGGAGAAGAAGAAAAACACTTTTTCACAATATTCGAATTTTGGGTTTTCATAAGCAACCATCAAAATTATAATGAGTCATAATAATGATAAAAATCATTTGCATGTAATGAGTCAATATAATATATTAGTTTCAACTTTTAAATAATTACTGAAATAAATTAACTTTTGCACGATATTCAAATTTTTCAAGCTTCACCTGTATATACACCATATATATACATTTACACACACACTGTATAGATTTTTTCTATTAAAATATTTTCTCTTAAAATAATTGAATCAAAATGCCAGTAACTGCTAAAAATCCTTTTGAATATTGTTTTTGACAATAGCAGGCCTTAAAGGGAAAGTACACCCAAAAACAAAAATTCTGTCATTTACTCATCCTCATGTTGTGCTAAACCTGTATGTTTCTTTCTTCTGTTAAACACAAAGATATTTAGTTGGTAATCAAACAGTTGCTTTTTAAACAGTAGTTCTACATTGTTTATATAACCTACCTATAAAAATACCAGTAGCACCTCATTGCAGTACATGAGATCCAGGGGGCGGAGTCAGATCCAGATCTGAGGGGTGGAGTTGGGTAGGTTTAGGGATCAGGGGGTGGAGCTGGGTAGGTTTAGGTATATGTAAGGTGGGAGGAGTTGGATCTGGATCCGACTCCTCCCTGTGGATTTCATGTTCTGCAGTGAGGACCATCTCACCTATACAGTACCAGTAGTATTCTGTGTCCTGTATATAATTTTACACTCATTCTTTCTGTATGTGTAGAGAACGAGTACAGTGTGGACGACGCATGTTTAATCCTGCTTCTGAAAGGCCTGTGTCTGAAGAACCAAGGCCAGATGCAGGCGGCAGAGGACTGTTTCAGACAGGTTTACAGCAGGCCAGTGATCCTCTATTAATGCGGTTCCCCTTCAAATATGCTTGTTCTGTCTCAGGATGGAGTTTGAGATGTTTTTGTGTCTTTAACAGTGAAAAGAAGCTGAAGTTTGACCATTACCTGGTTCCTAATGCTCTGCTGGAGACGAGCCTCTTGTGCATAGACACGGGGAGGAAAGAGCAAGCCATCAAACTCCTGCAGAAAGCCAAGTGAGAAAACCAATACAGTTCACACACACTGAATACTCGTTTTTACTGGTTTGTTGTTGCTCCAGTCTGAAATATCACATTGTTGCTGTCTCTCCTGTCAGGAATAACTACAAAGAGTACTCGATGGAGTCTCGTACGCAGTTCAGGGTCCATGCAGCCCTGATCAAACTTAAGGCTGACACCAATGACCAAGATGAAATAACATCTTTATGAGGAAAGATGATCCTAAAGGTCGTCCCAGGTCACTTTATGCGGAGAATATGAATTATCAAAGACACAGTGTGGTTTTTATGCAGTGGCACTGCCTAGTGTTAATATAGGAGACACTAAAAACCTCATTTCTTCAGCTTGTTTTTCACCAAATTTAAGTTTATTTTAGTTAGTAAATAGAAATAATGAATGGATATTTCAAATGTAAACTAGGGTTTAAGCTCCTTTTGTGTGAAAGTGTCCATCTAAGGGAGTATTAGATATCAATTTTTTATTTTTTTTTCCAAGTCCTGAACAGGTTTAATTAATAAGGGAAAATAGCTGGAAAACTGACGGTGTTGAAAAATAAATTGGACAAACAATTTTACACTAAGTTGTAATGATTAAACATGTTGATTATTGGAAGGCTGAGTGTGGGATTGAATATTATATTCCTTTCTTGAATGAATCAAGAACATTTATAATAATCAAATAGTTCCCCAGCATGCATCGTAAATACTCGGTTGTCAAATACTGTGGTTATTATTTTTGTCATGCAATGTAGTTAATGTTTCTTATTAATATCGCTATTAAAATAATTTTGGAAATGTATAATTTATGCATGTTTTTTCAATCGATGCAATGGGTTACAGCATGATAAATCAGTTTTCCTTAAGCTAAATTGGTCGTAAAAAGTACGTTTTCTTTTTAACTTCTCAATTTAACAAGGAATTATGTTATCACATTTATTAATGAAGCTCTTTGAATATCACAGTTTTTCAGACAGGCATGCATGTATATTTTCTGAAGTTAGTTTATTCTAATTAAACTATAATGTGCGATAATCACAATGATGTACAAAGAAACCAATTTTACAATATAGTACAGTGGCACTGTATAAAAGTCCTTGTTCTGGGCAGTGAGGGTTATTGGCTGGACTCAGCCGTCGCTGTGGGCAAGCCTTGCTCTTCCTCTCTCTTCGTGCGTTTCAGAAGTTTCCTCTTCTTCTTCTCCTCCTTCTCTATTTCAGCAACCATCTCTTTGAACTTAGCGCTGCGGGGGTCCAGCGCATACCCAAAGCGCTCTCTCGCCTCGGCCAGCAGTTTGTCTCGCCTTATTTTCTCCTCTCTTTGCTTCTGTTTTGTCTCCCTTTTCTGCTTTTTCCAGTCTGCGACCATCTTGGGCATTTTGGCCATGTTTGCAGCAATAGTCTTCTCTCTGTGTGGAAACAAAGCGAAAAGCTGCGTTTAAACAAAAGGTTGTGATCATCTACTTTTTCCGAACTTATTTAATGTAGTTTTTTCTTCCACAAGAAGCAACCCAGATAGCACAAGTCTATGTGATGTTTACATCTGGAAGACGTATTTTTTAAGAGGGCGAGGGCCTATAGGACGTTTCCTGTCAGATGTCAAATAGACGTTTAGAAGATGTCTGTTTAACGTGCATTCTAAATCATTACATCTTAAAGACATCTTCTAAACATCTATTTGACATCTGACAGGAAACGTCCTATAGACGTATTGCAGATGAGCAAACACTCTTAAAAATACTCTTCCAGATGTAAACATCACATCAAATTTGTGCAAGAAAAAAAAAATCGATGTTTAAAACTTTATTAGCTATAACACATAGCTTCGGCAGACATTTGTGGGGGAACAACTGAAGAATGACAACAATTTGCATCTTAAATTAAATAAACTATGAAGAATCATTATGTTTCCATCGTATCCACAAGTTTCCGAGGGGCGCTCCTGTAAAAAATAAAGTGGGTGAAACTTCCGGTGACGCGGCGGAAGTAGCATTCCAATGGTATTTTGTGTGTTAGTTAGCGAAGAGGCTAGCTGTTTTTCGGAGAATTATTTTACTATTTAAAGACGCAAATCTTTATGAGAGATGTCGTTACGGAGCTCAGGGACAACATGTGCTGTTCGCGGTTGTATGTATAACCGGACTAAACTAATTCAGTGGCTTAAACGGGATTGTTTTGAACATAAGCTGAAAACGAAATCAGAGTGATCCTGCCAGAGCCCGTCTTTGATCCTGCCAACGACTGTAGTTTCCATCACCTCCCAAAAGACGACGAATCTTCCTGTGTACATTTGTTTAAATTCTTAATGTTCTATAAACTCTATCAGCATGTGATTGGCTGTTCGCTACTGATGTTACACCTAAACTCAGGATCAAAGCCTGTGTTGACAGAATACCAAATGTGCCAGTTAATGTATTCAAGCAGCACATTCATTTATAATTTTGAATAAACTCCAAACCACAATGACTAAGTGTGTATTTTTTATTTTAATTGTTTGTCAGCTCGCACAACCGTCTGTCACCATGCCTTGATGAGTATTGATTATTAATAATGTTATTATAATACTCCCAATCAACTACTGCGGAGGGTAAAGGTACTGTTATTTCACCCTTTTGAATTTCGTTGAGGTTGTGTTCCCACAGCTAGTTTGGATCGCTATAACTTGAATGACTGTCAACTGTTGAATGGACGAGTGTCAAACATGTCAAATCGCGCTTTGTTTACTTCCAACCGGAAGTCGCGCCCACTTTTGACGCAAGGCCTCATGGGGCGTAGGAAACTTGTGGATAAAAGATAATCCACAAGTTTCCGAGGGGCGCTCCTGTAAAAAATAAAGTGGGTGAAACTTCCGGTGACGCGGCGGAAGTAGCATTCCAATGGTATTTTGTGTGTTAGTTAGCGAAGAGGCTAGCTGTTTTTCGGAGAATTATTTTACTATTTAAAGACGCAAATCTTTATGAGAGATGTCGTTACGGAGCTCAGGGACAACATGTGCTGTTCGCGGTTGTATGTATAACCGGACTAAACTAATTTAGTGGCTTAAACGTGATTGTTTTGAACGTAAGCTGAAAACGAAATCAGAGTGATCCTCCCAGAGCCCGTCTCTGATCCTGCCAACGACTGTAGTTTCCATCACCTCCCAAAAGACGACGAATCTTCCTGTGTACATTTGTTTAAATTCTTAATGTTCTATAAACTCTATCAGCATGTGATTGCTGTTCGCTACTGATGTTACACCTAAACTCAGGATCAAAGCCTGTGTTGACAGAATACCAAATGTGCCAGTTAATGTATTCAAGCAGCACATTCATTTATAATTTTGAATAAACTCCAAACCACAATGACTAAGTGTGTATTTTTTATTTTAATTGTTTGTCAGCTCGCACAACCGTCTGTCACCATGCCTTGATGAGTATTGATTATTAATAATGTTATTATAATACTCCCAATCAACTACTGCGGAGGGTAAAGGTACTGTTATTTCACCCTTTTGAATTTCGTTGAGGTTGTGTTCCCACAGCTAGTTTGGATCGCTATAACTTGAATGACTGTCAACTGTTGAATGGACGAGTGTCAAACATGTCAAATCGCGCTTTGTTTACTTCCAACCGGAAGTCGCGCCCACTTTTGACGCAAGGCCTCATGGGGCGTAGGAAACTTGTGGATAAAAGATAATCCACAAGTTTCCGAGGGGCGCTCCTGTAAAAAATAAAGTGGGTGAAACTTCCGGTGACGCGGCGGAAGTAGCATTCCAATGGTATTTTGTGTGTTAGTTAGCGAAGAGGCTAGCTGTTTTTCGGAGAATTATTTTACTATTTAAAGACGCAAATCTTTATGAGAGATGTCGTTACGGAGCTCAGGGACAACATGTGCTGTTCGCGGTTGTATGTATAACCGGACTAAACTAATTTAGTGGCTTAAACGTGATTGTTTTGAACGTAAGCTGAAAACGAAATCAGAGTGATCCTCCCAGAGCCCGTCTCTGATCCTGCCAACGACTGTAGTTTCCATCACCTCCCAAAAGACGACGAATCTTCCTGTGTACATTTGTTTAAATTCTTAATGTTCTATAAACTCTATCAGCATGTGATTGCTGTTCGCTACTGATGTTACACCTAAACTCAGGATCAAAGCCTGTGTTGACAGAATACCAAATGTGCCAGTTAATGTATTCAAGCAGCACATTCATTTATAATTTTGAATAAACTCCAAAGCACAATGACTAAGTGTGTATTTTTTATTTGAATTGTTTGTCAGCTCGCACAACTGTCTGTCACCATGCCTTGACGAGTATTGATTATGAATAATGTTATAATACTCCCAATCATCTACTGCGGAGGGTAAAGGTACTGTTATTTCACCCTTTTGAATTTCGTTGAGGTTGTGTTCCCACATCGTTATCTAGTTTGGATCGCTATAACTTGAATGACTGTCAACTGTTGAATGAACGAGTGTGAAGTATGTCAAGTTGCGCTTTGTTTACTTCCAACCGGAAGTTGCGCCCACTTTTGACGCAAGGCCTCATGGGGCGTAGGAAACTTGTGGATACACGCGGGAACCAATAACTTTTGACGTCATAACTCGTGACACGTCGTAACCGTCAAATTTGAACGTTTGAAGGAATTTCTCATCGAATAACGATTTCAATTTCGGTTTGTACGTCACATAAATCTATCATAAACGGGCTCAGAAGACTTGGAATATATAATAAATCACTTGGATTACTTTTACAAGCATAATGTTAGTCAACTGCCTCCCTCTAGCCTACATAATGAGATGATTTGCCAACTTTTTAGGTTTTGGAGTTTGAAAGCTCCAGTCTCTCCATCGCTGCATATGGAAACCGAACCTCGGACATTGTCAGAAACACAAATCATAACGGGTTTGTAACAACGTAAAGGTGAGTAACTTAAATGATCCCACTTTTCGTTTTGGGGTGAACCTATTATGAATTATATATATATATATATATATATATATATATATATATATATATATGTGTGTGTGTGTGTGTGTTGAATACGGTTGACAGCAAACACCCAATTGAAACCAACTTTAGTCAAAATTCCCTTCACCTCTCCATCCGCTTCTGCGCCTTCTCCTTCTCCCTGGCCGCGATGTTTGCCAGCATCACCTCGAGCGGTGGGTGCCACTCTCTCTCCTCGGCCACCAGCTCCTCCAGCCGAGCGTGAGAGGGCCAGAGTTTGGCCGGGTCAATCCCCGACGCGCGTCCATAGCGGCCGAACAGTCTGCGATCATACTTCTCAGTCTTCTGCCATTCGGGCGTCTTCTCGCTCTCTTTATTCGGTATATAAGGGTTCTTTATATTCAGCCAGAGGGGTCGTGGGTTATAGTTCGCGATCTGGTGGACTACAGTCGGAATAAAGGAGTTTAATTTACTAACACCATAGAATAAGCCTGTCCTGCAGCTCAGCAAGGAGGCCGCCATGTTTGATGACAACCCAGTGACCTCTGACGTCATCAAATGGACGCGTGGTGCTGACGTCATTACGCCCTCTGCTGGTTTAAATGAAAGTGTCAGAGGAAAAAAAAATAAATAAAAAGTGGCAGGAAATTATGATGATATGATCACTCAATCATATTCCTTAGTGAACTCACTGTCATGTTTAAGAAACCAATTTGTGCAGCTCTGTGCTGTTCAAGGGATAGTTCACCCAAAAATTAAACTTCTGTCATTTTCATGCAGTTTGTGTCAGTATTGTGGGACCGATAAGTCGTCTCTCTTTCTCCACCCTCGCTCCTCCCTGATCATTTTCGTTTGGAGTTTAATCATCACCTCAGGGGGCCTTTAACAATGCTATTTCAATCCTCAGAGGTTTTGTGTGTCCTGAATGCTGGACCCTTAAATCTTTTCCGGTAGTTTAGTGGCACAGTGGGATCCTATTGCTGGAAATAAAGACTTGAATGGATATGGTCCCGCTGGTATTGTTCATCCCTGAGTCTGGACAATACTAGAAAACAAAAATGATGGCCAATTTTAAATCTCAAGGCTGACGTTTTGGCCACATTACATATTTATTTATTTAATTGAATTACTTTAAAGAAAGAAGAACATACAATATTACACAAATTACAAAGAATTACTGGCAAGTTAATCATAGAAATTTGCACAAAAATACATGAGATGGGTGGATAGATTGGATGGATGGATTGATGGATGGATAGATAGATAGAAAGATGGATCAAAACATGATTTATAATCTTTTATCTGTTTAATTTCCTTTTGTACTGACTTCAAAATTTAATAATATGTAATAATTTCCCATTATGAATCAGAAAATCATTCAGTAGTAGGTAAAGCAACTTTGCTTGAATAATATTTAATATTAATATCAGCCACATATGACTGTGTATTTGAACGCCGTGATCTTACTCCATTAAATCAAGCGATAGTGAACGTTCAGAAGGTGAAGCTTTGAATACCACGGCCTAGTTTATTTTACAGACACACCGAGAGTTTCTGTCCTCACATAATTTAGTGGTGAATGGATGAATTATCATGTTTGAAGAGTCTTAAGGGGGCTTAGATGTGTCTTTCACCCGTAGGGCTGCATGTGGTCTGTACTTCTGTTCTTATTAATGGTCCATGCCAGCTTCAGTGAGCAGATGAGCAGAAACTCTGCTTTGAATTTCTGGAACGCAGCATGGGAGGGTTGGATTATTAACCAGCAAACACTCGGAGGAAGAAAAAGGCCTTTGTTTTAAATGCTCCAGCCCTTCCTCTCTATCACAAACCCCTCCTCTCTTTCCGCTACTCTTCTTTTAGTTTTGATTTCTTTTCAAAAATGTAAAGATGGGACAAACAAGCAGCTTTAGAATGCGGCTCTTGGAGAGACAGATGTCAGAGCTTTTGTGTCGCGACGAGCGCATCATTATAACTCAAAAGTTCCCATGGCGGGGGGTCGAGGAGGGTTTGAGAGGGGTCCGCAGTGTGCCATGCGCGACACAGGGCTTAATTTAGACACCGGTGATCCGTGCCAACTGAGAAGCTTTAAAGACACCACCGTCTGAAGCAGGTCTGCTGGCATTAATGCCGGGATTTTGTCAGTATTGATATATAATGAAACGCTGCGTTTTTCTAAGGCTTATTACTCATACATTTGGTCAGAAATTCCAAAAACCTAAATTTATTCATTTTATCATGTATACTGAGATGGATCGATGGATGGATACGAACGTACAGATAGACAGTAAAGATGGATGGAGAAATACATAGATTGTGAGTTCATCCAAAGAGACTATCCATATGGCCTTATGATTAAATATTTACAGGCCAACATATTTCCAACCAACTCATGAGAAATTCATGGAGATCTTGGATTATGGGATGGTTCTATTCCTGCCCACTGCCGTTTCCCACTCCCACAATAACTGGAGAACAACCAAGGGAATTTCCAGATGTCATCTCGGTAAACATGATGATCTCTCATGCTTGTAATGTGCCCACGATGACCTGTAACACGTACAATATTTCACGTGCTATACATATGTGGTTTTGATCGCAATGGTGCTTTGTTCACTCATTACGTTTAAATTTAGTTATTTAGCAGATGCTTATTCAATGCAGCATACAAATGAGGAAAAATACAAGCAATTATCTATCGTACATGAGATAACAGCTAATGGTAACACTTTACAATAAGGTCTCATTATTGTAAGGTCTCTATTGGGTTGAGATCTGGTGACTGTGGGGCCATTTTTGTACAGTGAACTCATTGTCATGTTCAAGAAACCAATTTGAAATGATTCAAGCTTTGTGACATGGTGCATTATCCTGCTGGAAGTAGCCATCAGAGGATGGGTATATGGTGGCCATAAAGGGATGGACATGGTCAGAAACAATGCTCAGGTAGGCCGCGGCATTTAAACGATTCCCAATTGGCACTAAGTGGCCTAAAGTGTGCCAAGAAAATATCCCCCACTTCATTACACCACCACCACCAGCCTGCACAGTGGTAACAAGGCATGATGGGTCCATGTTCTCATTCTGTTTACGCCAAATTCTGACTCTACCATCTGAATGTCTCAACAGAAATCGAGACTCATCAGATCAGGCAACATTTTTCCAGTCTTTATCTGTCCAATTTTGGAGAGCTCAAGCCTCTTTTTCCTATTTGTAGGGGAGATGAGTGGTACCCGGTGGGGTCTTCTGCCGTTGTAGCCCATCCGCCTCAAGGTTGTGTGTGTTGCGGCTTCACAAATGCTTTGCTGCATACCTCGGTTGTAACGAGTGGTTATTTCAGTCAAAGTTGCTCTTCTATCAGCTTGAATCAGTCGGCCCATTCTCCTCTGACCTCTCGCATCAACAAGGCATTTTCGCCCACAGGACTGCTGCATACTGGATGTTTTTCCCTCTTCACACCATTCTTTGTAAACCCTAGAAATGTTTGTGTGTGAAAATCCCAGTAACTGAGCAGATTGTGAAATACTCAGACCGACCCGTCTGGCACCAACAACCATGCCACGCTCAAAATTGCTCAAATCACCTTTCTTTCCCATTCTGACATTCAGTTTGGAGTTCAGGAGATTGTCTTGACCAGGACCACACCCCTAAATGCGTTGAAGCAACTGCCATATGATTGGTTGACTAGATAATTGCATTAAATTGATAAATTGAAGAGGTGTTCCTAATAATCCTTTCGGTGAGAGTTATAATGTAAAAATTGTTTTGTACATAAGTATGACAAATGTGGAAGTCATGAGATGCTATAATTTACTTAGTATGTCATAATTTTGATTTTTCATGTCAAAATTGAGACAAAAAATAATGACAAATCATAATTTTGACTTTTTCAATCTTATAATTTTGATTTAGCATGTCATAATTTTGACTTACTTGGTATGTCATAATTTAGATTCTTCATCTCATTATAATGATTTACCAAAGGTTTGGTGAAAATGGGCTTCCATCGTTTTGAATTTGTTCAATCTCTTAAATATAAGCACTTGTCTTGTAGGTGTTTTGTGGTTAAAATGACTTGATATGACTGGCTCGTTCATCACTCTGGAACTAGAAAGTCAAGTTGAGCACTTTTGCATCTTGAGCTACATGATCTCTCCTTGTGCGGCTGTGTACTGCATCTGTGCATAGAACTGTATAGTCAAGTGTACACACACAGTATGGTAGTGTGCCATTCTGAACATACTGGAGCCATATACTATCAAGATGTTTGACCGCTCCATATGAAGTAAACAATCAGCGACGCACATGCAGAGTGTGACATTGCTCATGTTCTCATCCTGCAGGCGGATCTGGAAGTCTCCATGTCATTGTTTAAATGATTCCCCTTCACTAAACTGGGAACGAACCCAAGCAAGAAGTACACGTGAAAGCACCTCAGGAGGGGAGCATGTTCAGCGGGGAGCTTTTCAATAATGGATGTACCACATTGAGCTCCCGTTAATAATGTGTTTCTGTCACCGCGGGAGACAGAAAACCGCATTTTAGAGGCGGACGAGAGAATAATGGGATGCAAAGTTAGGGAAACTTAGTCATAACTCACTCTGGCTCCTTTTCAAACATTAAGTTGGCTTTGTTTAACAAGCAAACAAAAAAACATAAGCATTGTGATTTCAGAGCACAATGGCTTATTAACCCACGAACCTCTCATCATCGGAGCTTTTATCATCGTAATTGTGTTTTTTGATTATAGTGTTTTCATTGATCAAATTATGGATTGAAGGAATGATCCATATGGCAGTGAACATAGTCTTGATTTGAAGGAATGTTTCAGGTTCGAACAAGTTAAAGGGATACTCCACTTTTTTGGAAATAGGCTCATTTTACCACTCCCTCAGAGTTAAACAGTTGAGTTTTATCGTTTTTAAATGCATTCAGACGATTTTCTGATATTTAGAAGAATATCAGTAACCAGACAGTTTCTGGTCTCATTGACTTCCATAGTAGGAAAAAAATATACTATGGAAGTCAATGAGACCAGAAACTGGCTGGTTACTGAAATTCTTCTAAATATCAGAAAATCGGCTGAATGGATTTGAAAACGGTAAAACTCAACTGTTTAGCTCTGGGGGAGTGGTAAAATGAGCCTATTTCCAAAAAAAGTGGAGTATCCCTTAAGCTCATTGTTGAAAATCTTTTCAAAATCTATAACAGAAAAATTTCACATGAATACATTGGAAATCTGAGGCAAGATTGTGCAAAGAGTTTAGAAGCTCTTAATTAAACTCAACGGCCTTTTAGTGGTGGGGCTACATTTCTAAAGGTGATGCACACTGTACAATTTATAATAGACCTTAATGATTGTTGCTTTGTCAGATTGTATGAACATGATTTGGCTGTAAGCCATGTCCAACATGACATCATGACTTTTGCGTAAACATACACGCCACCAGGGTTCTCAAGTTTGAGCAAAAGCTTGGAGTGAGATCACACGCAGTTAGGGGAGGAGCCATAATGAAGCCCCGCCCCACCCATCCCCGCCCCCAATTTTACCCATTGTTCATAATTAACCAGAACAAATTAAAATT